CCATGCAGCCAGGAATAGCAGGTGGCTTTGGAGCTGAAGCCCTGGGTCCTATAGGACAAGGCAATGAATTCTTCCAAAGACCTAGAGCTTGGCAGAGGATGCTACTGACACCTGACGTCAGCCTGTGAGGCCCTGCTGTGGAGCCAGTCAGCCGGCACCTGGCGACAGACCGTGAGAAGGTAAATGCATGTTTCGTGCGACACTGCTGAGTTTGTGCTCATTTGTTAGACGGTAGAGAAAACAAATCGGGGTCCTAGGAACTGCAGATAGAAAACATTCTCTCCAGCTGTGTTCTCTGTACCCACTCTTCCCTCTCAAGGTTAATATTCAAGGGCAGGGTTTGATTGACATGTGGGCAAAGCAGACAGCTGCATAGAGGAGAGTGGGGAGGGAGGGGGAACTGGGAACTGCTCCAGGGTCTCTGTTCCCAGCTGTTTGGGTCATTGACGTTCTTGTTGATTGTGTGCAATGTGCTCTCAGAAAAGGTAACGCCTTACGTAGACTATAGATGATGGCTGTTTCTCTTAAATCACATGATTGGATGCACAGAAATTGCTAATTCAGTCACAGACTGCACAGAGACCCAAAAATTAGCAGGTGGCTCCACCAGACAGCAAGACGTCCCCCAAATCCCTACAGCAGCTCGTCGACGAGAGCAGGTTGTGGAGCCAGGAATGTAGGGAGCTTGGTGTCGGCCCGTGCCAGGGCGGTCCCCAGTGTGACTGCTGATGCTAATGCCCAGCTCTAGCTCAGTGCTTACAGTCAAGAGTCAGACACTACCCTGGAACTTCAGGCCCTACTTTTGAAGTTGAGAGAACTGAGGCCCAGGAGATCAGTTGACTTTTCCAAAGCCACCCATCCCGGAAGAAGCAGACAGAACCAGAGCGTAGGGCTTTCAAGGATGTTTGTCCGATGACTGTTCCTCCAGCACCACCTGACCCAAGTGTTGCCCATTGGTGGCATCGTCAGCTCTCAAAGTAGGTCCCGGTTCGGTCTGCACTGCTGGCTTCCCTCTGCTGATACCCCTCCTGACGGGCCAAGCTTTCCCCTCATGCCAGCTATGCCATCAATACTGGCATCTCGTTGCTAAGCAACCCAGTCTCTCCAAAGTGACTCAGCTGTTTCGAGAGCAGAGCCTGACAGGGTAGAAGAGCTTCCTGAGGCAGCCGTGGCAAAGTACTACACATTGGGTGACTTAAAACAACAGAAATTCATTCTCTCCCATTCTGGAGGCCAGAAGTCAGAAGCTGAGAGATGAGCAGAGCCCGGGTCTTTCTGAAGGCTCTCAGGGAGGATTCATCTGTGCCCCTTTCAACTTCCTTAGCATCCAGCAGTCCTCAGCTTTCCTTGGCTTGTTGCTCTGTCCCTCCAGTGTCCCCTCCATTTTGCATGGCCCCAAGAATACGTATCATGGAAGCAAATGGGTGAGCTGGCCAAGTCTACACTCAGGGTTTTTACAACACTGCTGTAAAATACTGGGGGAAAGCTACCACAAAGGATGTGATAAAGTGATAGAACACATTCATATGGCACCTTACAAGTTGCAAAGCCTGTACAAGCTTATGTGAGCCCATAGGTCCTGGATGTGCATTGGTTGTTGACAAGAATGCTGTGCCAGCTGTGAGTGGCTGCCATCCTGTTTTGTGGTTGTATATACTGATACGTATTCTTGGGCCATCCCTCCAGCATGCAAACAGAGCATAGGAGAGGTGGGTTTTGGTGCCAGGCAAAGCTGAGCACTAGGTCTGATAAGTCACAGTAGTCATCTCTTTTTTTTTCCTCAGGCAGAGAAGTAGCTGAGCCAGGAATTGGGTGGATGTTTAGTGATGGAGGCCAGTCAGGAGCACCTGATGTCCCAACTGTATTTTGATACAGTACACAGTGAAATCAAGTGAATGAATTTATTGATTGCTTGGTAATTGATTCAGGAACAATTAAGTAGGTTGTCAGGAATGGATCCCTGCCCCAGGGTGTTGAACGCCTGACCCCAGACCTCCCACCAGAAGCAGGAAGCTCCTTCTCCCTTCCTGTGTAGCCCACACATCCCTGGAGAGGCGCCAAAAGGAGGTTTGGGGGGCATGGCGGTGAGAGGCAGGTGGGGCAGTCCCTCCTCCCACCCACTACTGCACAGGTGTGCCTAGTCCTTTCGTCCAGGCCCAGGGGCTGTGAGAACAAGTGAGGGAGGTGGCCTGCCCAGGAGCCTGGGTTTGTGAAGAGAGGATGTGAGGTACTTCGCGGCTGTAGGTTTCTCAGGATGCGGAGACTTGTCCCTTCCAGAAAATCCTCACGCTTCTCTGACCTATAGTCGGACTGGGCCCTCAAGGGAGCACTGGTTCCTCGGGCTTGGGGAGGAGCGGGTTACCAGAGGACTCTTCAGTTCCTCAAATCTCCAAGGCAGTGTCTACCGCACCCCACCCCACCCACCTTCAGAAACAAGGAAGGAATAAAGGGACTGGGCGAGTGAGTTGAGTTACCGTAAGCAGGACAACCTCGTCTGGCAGGGCAGTTCCGTGGCAGGACAGAGCGAAGCCCCTCCACAGACAGCCCTCAAGGCATCTGAAACAGCACCTGGGTGTTGCTGACCCTCTGGGTGTGGGGATCCAGGAGGCCAGGTCGCAGCCAGCAGCCCAGTTCACACCCATACGCCTGATTTCTCTGGCTCTGAAAATCCAACCTAGGACACGCCCTGGACTGACAAGGAGGAGGCTGCACTGGGCTTAGCGACTCTGAGGCAGTATCTGGTTAGGGCAGAGCGGCTCACCCCATTGGCACCTCAGGTGGGGTGAGAGCCCCAGGCTCCAGGAGGGGAAGGCAGCACCACCTAGTGGTGGTCATCGGCACAGGGCCAGGGGCTGGGCCTTAGGACCCCAGACCCTTGGTTTTTGCCTATTTTTTCAATTCTCAGTACCTCAAATGAAGGTCCTACAACTGGCAACGGTGTCTCCAGGCCACACGGGAGGGAGCCCATTAGCATCACCAGACTACTGTGGCAACATCCTGAAGACAGCTAGCCGGACTGTGGATGGTGGCTGAGAGAAGGGATCGCTGACCTGTGCACCGCCGTCGTCCCTCAGGCGGGGGACAGGGCGAGACTCAGGGAAAGGCTCAAGTTCCTGTCAACATGTCATGTTATGCCCTGTCAGCTTGCCATACTACACACAGGAAGAGCAAGAGACTGAAACAAGGATTTGCACTCAGCCATGTGTGGTAGCGTCCACGGGGACTTCCCAGCAACTCCTGTCAACCTGCAGGTGAGCTGTTGTACCCATTTTCCTGAGGAGAAGAGCAAGGCTCAAAGCATTCAGGTGACCGTTCAACCACAGCTGAGGTGTCTGGCAGGTGTAGGGTCCCATGTCTGCATGTGGAGAGAGAACATGGCAGGGACAGAGACCTGTGGCCACCCCAGGCCAGTCACCAATCGTACCTGTCCTGTCCCTCACCCAAGGGGGCATCAGGAAAACTGCTAGAAGGGAGCTGAGGCCATGAACAGAGAGGAGCCATCATCAAGAAAAGTGGCCTCTCTGAAGGTCACCTTCAACACCCAGCGCAAGGGAGAGATGCCCGGGCAGGACCATGGGCACAGAGCCCCGAACAGGGATGAAAAACAGCAGCTGGAGTAGATTCCCCCGGTGCCCGCCCCAAGCTTCCTCCCCAGAGCAAAGGCAACTCCTCCGGGCCTGTCGAACAGCCCTAGAATATTCCTCACCTTCCCACATAGAACAGCTTTTCCGGGCCTGTGGGGGGCTGGGGGCCGGGCAGGGCCTCTGAGGGGAGGGCCGGAGGAAGGCGGCCCCCTCAACTGCACTCCAAGTGGAAGTCGGGCAGCAGCTCTCCTGCGGCCTGTGACGCACAGGCCTCTCTCCTGGCAAACCTGTCCTCCGTCTGTGGCCTCCTTCTGCACGCTTGTGTCTGGGCCAGTGTCTTACTCGTCTCTCCCTTTGCCACAAACCTCTTCTTCTGAATATAAAAAAGGGAAGTCGCGTCGCCCCACCCCTCGGCTGCGTCCACGTTGTGTCACATGGCAAGAGCTCATCTTGATTTCCTAGCTGAGCGTGTGTACTTGGCTTTCGTGCATAGGGCTGCAGTGAATGTGGCGAGGAACGTCTGGAGGGAGGCCCCAGAGCATGCATGATGGTGCTACCCAACGCGAGCTCGGAGAAACATCAACA